TTGGCAGAGCTGGGGAGCAGATTTCAGCCCAAACCTGCAAAACTCTTAGCATATAGCTGCTTTTAAGCATTTAAGTGATCCCACTGACTTTCACATGTATGTGTTTTCTTAAAGTCATCCCTTCTTTATGCAACATGGTGTTTGCTTTCTTGCAGTCACAAAAATTACTTAAACTTCAAATTAACACAACTTCTTATATTTCTCCTCTTACAAAGAACAACAAAACCCAAGACTAGTTATTGAGATAAATAAAATTCCAATGGTGATATAAAAATAATAGTGCCATGCATTGTATACAGACTATTTAAAATGCAGATGAAGTAAATATATATAATGTGCAGGGTATTTGAAAACTTGCCCTAATATTACTGGGGGCACACACACTGCTTTCAGTGATATTTAGACTTTTAAAATGGATCAACCTAAAATGTAACCTGTTAAGCTATCAGTTATAGCCATTCATATGTTCTATGATATGGACAAACATTTTGGGCATTCTGAAAATGCACATTCTTACTTAATACAATGCCATTTCCATGACACGTGGGAACCTTGTCTATTACAATGTGGTTTCTAAGTGAGAGTAGACAATTTCAAACACATTTTTAACTATGGAAATTAAAAGCTTAATGACTGCTTACACAGGTTAAAGTTGTAGTCTGGCTATACCAGTTATTCAAGAAGTTAAAAAATCTTATGTAGAAATTCATGTTTAAACTATGAAAAGTTTAAACCTGCCTGAGAATGAATTAGGCTCTCAGAGAGACTGCAACATCACAAGGACAAAAGGCACTGTAGATATTATGCTAAAGGAATTAAAAAAATTCATTCAGTAAGTTAAGGTGTTGGAGTAGTCTGTTACACTCAATAGAAATCTTAAAATTTCTACAAGTTGAAAACAGGCCCCAGAGATTTTATTGTAATTAAAAAAAAAAAAAAAAAGCTTTAAGGAAGGGATAAAATATCATAAAGACTGTGCTTACTGTCTCTCAAAAAGATGGCACTTAATTCTCCCCACTACTGAAATAAATCATGCAACACAGAGGAAACTTTTCAGGTTTGATCTTGAAAAGTTTGTGAGGGATTCATGTCCCATTATAAGGTAGGATTTACTTCTGCTCCTGAAACCTGTGATCCTCGCAGCTAAGAAGTGTGTGAGCTGGCTTTTTGCTTGCACTGCTGCCATCCTTTCCTCTGAATGCCTTTACCCTCTAGCTGCAATATTAGTTGTTGCAGAGGCTGTTTTGTTTTTTAACAACAGAAGCCTTCCTCCTTCTCTGTCTCACTAAATGTGCTGTGTCCCTGTGTGCCTCAAAAGTGGCAAATCATTTTCATTCAGAGCATTATTTTTGTATGACATATCACTTTAGCTTCCATTTTCCATGCACAGCACTAACCATCAATGACGTTTTAAAAAGGAGGATTGTCCAGCCAACTCTTGCGATTAGCATTCACATGACTGTGGGACAAAGCACTGCAGATTTGCCCAGCTTATCAAACAGGCCACTGGCTTTTATTATTTCAGGGAGAATCAAATTGGAAGTTGCTTCTTGAACTAATCAGGACTGATTTGCTCTAAAGTTGCTTCCTGACTTAGATCTCAGACAAGGAAGTGCTGTAATCAGTTCCCAAGGGCTGTCAGAGTTGTGATGGGATACTAAAGGAATGGTACACTGCGTTTAAGAGTTCCCTGGTCTTGGTGGCTTCTCATGTTTAACACAGTTAAACCTGAGCTTGTTGTATAGAATCAAAGATTAATTTTCTGAGGTAGCCTTGTATAAGGAGATGATTTTACTCGAGGTTGCAGAACTGAATTTTGGAAAGAATATACTCAGGTTTCCTCCAGGATTTGTTCAGTTCTGTTAAGGATATAGACGGGCAGAATTGTTTAAAACCAAACATATACTGCCCATCACAAAAAAAAAAAAAAAAAAAAAATCTTCATGAAAGAGAAAATGAGTCCCCTTGAGTGACACTGTTTGCATATTAGCCCATAGTATGGGCTCTGCCAAGTTGCCAAGTTACTCTCTGACTGACTGCTGCAGATGCTCTTTCTCAAGTATTCTGAGTGAGATCTTTAGTGCAAGTCTTCAGGGACAAACAATAGCACCTGTTCCTCACAAGATAGCAGCCCAGTTAGTCCATTCATGTATCTTTAATGAAGCTCTGGGGCAGATGGCAAAAAATGGCATCATCAACAACTTAGCACAGAGGAAACAAAAGGGGAAAGTGCCAATCCAACAATACGCTATTTTTATGAATGAGAAGAGACAGTCAGAGTGTTTCTCAGGCATCTGCTGCAGTCTTGGTTTACAGAAGGACCTCAGAAACATCTCAGCAATTAAAATTTCTGAGCATGTAGCCGATTTTATGAAATAAACCTACCAACCCCTCCTCCCAACTTCTCCCCACCTCAGTAAAATCAAAATAATACTGATACCAATATTAATATTAGAACCCTCAGGAAAAAGTGAAAAATTAGGTGTCTGATGGGGTTTTTTTTGGTATTCATTTTCTATCTTCACTAATTCAGTGACACCTGTACACTCACAAATGTTTATTTGTGCTTTTCAGTTGACCTGTGCTGAAAATCGACACCTATGTATATAATAATTCTGTGTGAAAATAAAATTTACCTAGGAATAGTATTTAACATGTGCCAGAGGGAAGACCCATGGGAGGGAATGGTTCCCATTCAGTAGGGTTTTTTTTTCAGTCTGTATAACTCTCTGAAGTGTAAACTCAAACTTACACTTTAAATGTAAGCCACCTTTAGCCAAAGTTACACTGATTTATATAGGCTGAAGACCTGATCCAGCCTTCAGAGTAGTATTTCAAGGAAGAATAGCAGATTTCCAGAACATACAGTGGCAATTCTCCACACTTACAGAATTGTTTTTATTTGAGAGGGTTTTAAAAAAATAAACCAAACTTTTTGGATATGATGGAGTGGATCCAACTCTACAGGATTGCATTGGGAAACAACCACTGGATTTGGTTCTTACATATTTCAAATTATTTTTAAGACACTACAGTGCACAGTATTGCTATGGGTATGTATTCACCATGTACTCATGCATGTGTTCACCTGATCTCTTCTGCGTCTTGTGTTATTATGTCGGTGTCATGTACCTTTGCAACCCCAGGGAAATATTTTCTGTGCGTGGTGACCGAAAGAGATATTTCTTAAGCCACATGCCCATTTGGTTAAACTGTAGATATGAACTACTGAAAATTATCGTAAATTCTATTGTATTGAATTCCTTAAGATATATCCTACAGTTGTTTCTATCAGACAAAGCCTGTGGTTTTCATTTGCTGTACTCCTGTAGAGCCAGTGTAAAGGAACACCGCACAGCAAAACGAGGACCATTTTATCAGAGGTAAATGCCTGTGCTGGGCACATGGGATCAACTTCAATCTAACAAAGTTTAACTCATATCCTAAAACACACAGCCAGGCTTACCTCAGCTAAAATGAGAGAAATAACTGCTCAAAGCTAGTTTCTTTCACGCCCCAGTGCCATAGCAGTAATTGCACAAAGACCTTTTCATTATAAGTTGATTTTCCTGAGAAATGGATTCAAAAAATACTGTAAAGTGTTTATTTTTTGCTTGACCTTTATTAACCTACATCTTGCAGCTTTCCCAGGAGAAGAGTTGTTGGTAAATTAACCCTCATAGACACACACAGTAGCATTTCTGCACTGCATCAGTGGTTGTGAAAGTAATGGGGATATGACAAGAAAATTTGGCACTATTTAAACAATGTCATAGGTCACCATATGGGATTTGACCAAAAAAAGTTTTTTAGGAATTAAATGAAAAAAAAAAATTGCTTGAAGTGTACTTTAACTTTTTAATAGCATTTAATGCCACCGATTTATGGTAGGATGAGGGAATTTTTTTTTTTTTCTGCCTAAAAGCCCAATTTCTTCCTACATTTACTGGCTTTGATATATAAACCATTGTATGTTTGCTTAACTACTAATCAGAAAAATCATAGTCAAACCCTTGGGTACTTCTGGGGCTAAGCAATGATGGATAAGAACTATTTGTGATCCTAGCCACTGTCTCTGAAACACACGAAGCATAAACTAAGAAACTAGGAAATTAACATGTGGATTTAACAGACACAATTCTATCACATCTCCCGTTTTCTATATGTTAAATACAAATGCTGGTATAAGGTGAACAGTTTTTTTCTTCTGCATGTTTTTGCTTTTTTGATACATTTAATAAGGTCAAGTTAAGTTTGATAAAGTAGGTTTTATTCTGAAATGGTCTCTGAATACAACTCCTTAATTACCAAGGTACATGATAGCGCATAAAGCTATAAAACTGCTTAAACAGACAAACAATTTATATGTCATAGTGAGGTGTGTATGGCAAAGGATGTTAGTTTAATTGGGAGCCAAGATGTTGGAGCCTTAAATCTTAAGAGCTGGTTGTTGACTAGAAGACTATTTAATAGATTTTGAAATAACATACCTGAGTTGTTGGTATATATATGAACAGTACAGTGTTGTATGATCTCAGAATTAAAATTACCCTAAGGGTGCTAAAATCTGAACATCAAAATAGCTGCTGCAGTGTTAGGTTACTTCTAAAGTGCTTGTCACTGCTGTCTGTGGCCAAAGATGAGAAAACTTGTGAAAAATTATTAGAAGTACATACTCCTTTTTAAAGAACCTATAGTGTATTACACAGGTTTTATACCTTTTTACCTTGTGCCAGGATGGGAAATATTAATAATAAAAAAAATAATAGAGGAGCAGAAGAAGTACGAAAATGTGCAGTTCACTGAGACTGTTACACCTTTGACACTGAGGGAAAACAATGTTAGTGAGGGCTTTGATGTGATAATGTGAAACTGGCAGGGATTATATTAAGGCAAAGGTTCTGTGGGACTGTGTGAACACAAGAACACTATCAGTATGGGAGAAATACCTGTCAAGACAAATTTGTGCTATTTCTGATCAGAGGCTCTCTTCTGTTTAGCAGGTTCAGGGTCACATGCCTCCGCTCATGATCCCAATTTTTCCACACGACCAGCGGACGCTGGCAGCGGCTGCTGCAGCCCAGCAGGGATTCCTCTTCCCCCCCGGAATAACTTACAAGCCAGGTAAGCTGACAGGAATGTGAAGCTATTTAACATTTTAAGATATTAACTGTAGCTTCTTGTGTGATCTGTCTCATATGGATGGTGCATAACAGGTGTAGCTGGTTGGCAATAGTGTGGAGTTTTTGCAGCTCCACTTGAAAAATCCTTCTGGTTTTCAGGAGGTGGATGGAATATTAGTTATTGACTATCATGATTTTTTTAACCTTTATTTCCCATAAAATCATTTGCTCTAAATGTATTGGCCCACTTGCCTAGTAATTTGTTTCTCATCTGACCTGTGCCATTATACAAATGCCATTATACGTATCTTTAATTAATTCTGGTATCTTCAGTATACTTGTGTTTTGTGCAAAATTCTAACTCTTTTGTTTGATTTCAATCTGAATAATAAAAGGTTTCAGTAGTTCAATCCCAGTCATCATTCAGACTTGTAACAGGTCACATAACCTTGTAATGAAATATGTTTTGAGATGATTTAGCAAATGTTTCGATTTCTGTCTTTTTTTCCTCCAAGTTTACAGGACTCCTGGGGAATTCAATTAGGGATATAATGGTTTGAAGCTACTTTCAGAGCCTCCTTGTAAACAGGGCTTTAAATGTTTAAAGACACATTGCCAAAGAAATTCAATGTAGGAAGATAGTTAAGTAAATAAAAGTCAACCTTATTTTCATTTGTACATTCTTTGTAAGTGACCTCAGTGCAGAAGGAGCAACCTTATTTTGCTCATTAATTCCCTGTCAAGCTGCCTTTAGCGTATTAACCTGGTAACTAATAACTACAAAACATATATACCAGTATCTTTTTTTGACATTAAATATGAGACGTACAAAGTAAAGCATTGATCCTGCTCCCCCTGATATTAGTGGTGGTTTTGCTGTTGACTGCAGCTGGAACAGGGTCAAATCCAAAGTAAAGCCTCATAATAGATGGTGTAAACAGCATACTAATTAAAAGGCAGGTTGAACCTAAAACCCTAAGTTTACTTAATATTAGATGAAGTGAGGCCAAGCAGGATTTCAGTAAGTATTTCCATTTGTCCCAATCTCTTCTGTCTCTTTGGACTAGAGACATTCCTTTTTAAACACAGAATCTTTGTCCTTTGTTATTATCTTTGTTATCATCTTATTTTCAGGTTTAGAATCCAAAAGTTCTTCTCCTATTTGACAAACTGATGCACTCTATGCAGTGCTCTGAAATGGAGCTCTGAAAGACACCTAGTTCTAGGTGGCACAGGATGATGGTTATTCACACACATCACCACCTTGTGACAGTTGGGGACCAAAGCGAAGAATATTTTGTCTCCACAGACATAAGAGTTGCCACTTGTGGAAACTGTCTGTGACACATGGGCTAATAATTTTCTTCTCACAGCCAACAGAAAGCATGTGCTTCAGTTTCCTTCCTTTCCCCATATTAATCTGAGATACTTTCTGAAGAGTGACTATTAATGATTAAGCTGCTGGTTGTGCTTCTCCCTGAAAGCTGCTATGTCAAATTGTGTTGTGTTGATTTTGGCTTCTGTAGGCTGCTTTGTAAAATAATGACTTGGGAAGAAGAGTACCAGCATGATTTCCCCACAAGAACAGATTTCTGTGCTTATTCTAAAGTGTTTCTTACAGTACTTGTCCTAACACTTTATCAAGCTTATACTCCTTTATGTGTGATCCTGTTGACCTCATATCAGCAGGTGATACAGATCTAGGGCACTTTTTTACTTGCTGGAAAACAGAAGGAGAGATCTGTAATACAGGTTTAAAGAATGAAGTGCAGGCAAAAATCAAGGCCTAGATACCTCAGAACACAGCTAAGCTGTTGGCTAGTATGTTAGTGGTTTATATGCAGCTGTTGCTAGTAAAGACCAGAAGTCACAATGATCTGATTATTCCCAGTGACTTGCAAGAAATGAGAATATTTATATTTTTAATATATTTATTAAATTTTACAGTGTGTGTGCCAAAGGTAGCTGGGCAGGTCAGTAGTTTTTGTTGGAGAGACATAATGATAAAAAAATGCCATTAACTACACTTGGTATTGATTGACTCCTATTTTTGGCACTCTTGGCACAGTAGTTAAGGAATTAATTAAACTGGAGATTAAGCTACACTCTTTCATACAGAGGGTTCTCCAAAGTAATTTCTGAGGAACTTGACTGCTACTACCTGTACTCTTCTACTTTTGTGAGAAATGAAACTTTCACCTCTAGAACTGTCAGTTTAAACTTGCTTATACTTCTGAGGAAAGGTAGCAGATGGATTAACCCTTCAGATACTTCCATTTTTCTTCTTGTTTGTCTGTTTAGGTTCTATTTCATTTTACTCTAGTTTGATCTAGGCAAGACTGAGTTTTGACACTATCACTTTTCTTTGACTTTCAGAAAATAAAGTGAAAGGGATTTCAAAAACAGAAACTATGGGAGCTGAGTACTTTTGAAACTGTGTCATTTAGGGAATGTCAAATACTGTGTGCACAGTCACTTAATTTGAATTGTCCTCAAAGAAAATGGGCTAGATATAAGCCAGCTCCAACTTGGAAGCAGCATATCAGTGTTAGTGTGACAGAGCAGTCAAGATGAGAAGTCCTGACTTGGTGTACAAGTGGGGATATGATTACGTGCACATGTCCGTGTACCTATATCTTCATGGACTAAGTGGGAAATGATTTCATGGCTGCTTAGTTCAATGCCAAGATAGCAGTTACTGAGTACTGGTGCAAATCTGCACATAAACTGCCTTGAAGTAAGAAAATGGCATTCCTATAACAAACTACACTAGGTCATGTCCTCAATTGAAGGACCTATAGAAGAGAGGAGAATTTATTAGGTTCTGAGTCCCTTCCAGCATGTTCCTTAGTTGCTCCTAAACTCCTGAGCTCAGAAAGTCATTATGAACAGAAAACCTGAGAAATAGCTGATATACAACTATGATTCATATTAAAGCCTGACAGGGCAGAGTTTCCTGCTGCCTGGCAGGAACTATAACATGAGGTTGCTGTAAACCTCTTTCCACCCCCTTCTCCTCCCTCCCCCACAATGTTTTGGAGCTCTAGGAGGTGAAACAGTCCAAAGTTAGCAAGTGCTGATGACAAGTAATAATTACATTAGGAAAAAAAAATCCCCAAAGCCCCATGCTTCCTTATGTATCTCAAAGTCATGTAATATAATTTTCCGGCATGGTAAGTACTAATTGAGAAATCAGAGCTGCATAGACCACCTAATTAATTTTTTATACATATTTCAGTATTTGTACTGTATACTGGATTAATTAAAACTTTAGGGCGCTGTGCATCTCAAATGACTGTTGTGACTATTGACCTGCAGGCGCTTGACGAGCCTCGTAGAGTACCTGGTTGTGGGGGTAACCACTTATTCCAGTGGGAAGCTGAGACTGGCAGCTGTTAGGAAGCTAATACTTGCCCAGACATGCTATGCAGCTAATATAATTATTTCATATTCCAAGTACAGCAAAGCAACTGTGCTGTCTTTTGGACTGTGACCTCTATACTTACTACTTGGAACTGCTGGGTAACATAAGTACCATTATACGTCCTCTTCCAGTTCAAATTTACCTTCACTTAACCAACCTCATGCATCCAGGAAAAGTTAGTGGTGATTATGTGATTATCCTGTCCCCATTAGTGCTCTGGGTCAAGAGGAGAAGACAGTAAGTTGCATAAGGAGGAAGACGGTTTCCTCCTCCATCTTGCAGTGCCTGAAGTATTACCTCCTTCAAGTTTTGTGGCTAAGAAGGAATGGGGAAGTAGAATGATGATAGAGTATTGATATGAAGTAATGCTGGGGAGGAGCCAGACCATACTTTGCACAGAGCTCAAACGAAGCTCCAGTTTGCTCTGAGTGGAGAGTGACCACTGTCCATGCTGGCTGCATTTGCATGTGACTTGGAGATGAATGTTTACTCTTGCTTGATAGTCTTCTATTATGTCAGTTCTTTACCAGATGTGGAAAGTATCTCTGAAAAAGATTACTGAAAATACAGACATAAGCTACGGAGATTGTAAACCTCTGTCTTAAAAGGTTTTGACATGCTGCAGTGCATTTTCAAAGCATTTCTTTGTATTTCACACATAAAGTATATAAAGATGATGATTAGAATGCTAAGAAACGACTCCTGTCTGCCTACCTAGGTCATTCTACTTTATACAGAAAAATAGTTTATGAGAGATTTTTGCTATGCTGGTAATACTATGAAATGTGAAAATGGATACAGTTTTCCTAGGCTGGTGGCAAAAATAGTGAGAAATGGAGCCAATGTTTTGGCCTGGTTCCTACTTGCACTGGGGCAAATAAGTAGTAACTCCTTTGAAACCAATGAAAGTAAAATTAGGTAAAGCAAAACAAACAAAAATGTCAGTCTTATTGTCACCCAGCTGGACCTAAGAATATGTGATATATTTGTCATCAAACTAATTAAACTCCTTAATTACAGTAGCTAATCCATATAACTAACATCATCCTAGGTCTGCTGGATTTCACCAATACCCATCATTGCAGTTTCCATTTGGAAGAGACCTTTCAGAAGTTTTACTTAAAGCTCTAAGGTAGTTTAAATTTTACATAGCACAGCACTCCACTTTCATTAGGCTGCTGTTCCTGTTGGCAGGTGAGAACAGAAAGCATACATCAGATCAACTGTGTACCGAGTTGGCCACGTGTCTTTGCATGGCAGAGGTGCTACATGAGTCTTATTTCTAATAGAAATCCCCCAGGACTGCATTAAAGTCTGCCATGTGTTCCCTGTTGGGTTTTACTGGTTGGAACAAGGAATTTGTAACCTCAGGATTTGTTGTAACAATACATATGTGCCTAACACCTAAATGTTGAGGTAAGAGCTAGAAATGGTAGGGGGCAGCTGAATATTTTGAGCTGGGAGTTTGCACTGAAATTCTTTACCTGCAGACAGGCAATTGTTGGGGCAACTGATTTTCCTGTGACATGAGGGTGGCAATAAGGCAGTGTTGCAGCAAACCCTGCTCAGATCTAAGGCAGAGGGAAAGTGGTGTCATTAGACGGGGGGAGATGTTCCATAGTATTGCCATAGCCAGTTACCTGTAGTAAAATCTTTCTCAATCCTGATGCCTTCGCACAAACAAAATGCATGCTCTGTGTGGGAATATTGCAGGAGTGTATACGGACTTGCTGTATCTCGACTACACGCTGAGGAGAGATATGCTTTCCTTAGCTTGTTCAGTATGCCTGGGAGAGTAAGGCCCTGGAATTTGTATCTCTTAAGTCTCCTCCAACTCTGTTTCCTGTGAGTACACCTGGAGAGATTGCAAGTAGCGGTCTAAGATTCATGCATGAAGAGACAGATTTTAAGTTACAATCCCAAAATGGGGAAAACAAAGGCTTTGTAAGTCAGATAAGGAGAATCAGTGTGTGTCTTACAGTAGTGCTTTAGGGGAGATGAGGAATAAGCAACACCTTTCCCCTACTCTGAGTCTCAAAAGAGCCAGACATCCTTCTTTCCTTACAGCTCACAGAGCCTTGATCTGGAAACTAAGTCCATATATCCTATAAATAATGTCCACTAAGCTTCATTGCTTCATCCAAGACAAAAAGAAACATTTACATTATTTCTATGTAGAATTACACAGTACAATTGCTCACTGCTTTTATTCATTTGGAAATGTTGCTCAACCTGACAAATGGAACAGAAGTCTGGCATACTTTTCCATGGCTTGTAAACACCAATTTATATATAAACAACAGCAGCCAAATGTAAATAGACAATCAGCACAGCAAAGAGATTGAAGAGATCAGTTTGCAAAATGTGACAGGGTTTGTTCTTCTGGTATTCTTCTCACCGCTGGTTATCAAAGGCCAGCGCACACCGGTACCTAAAGCAGACCTGTCTGAACATGTTCTGCTGCCTTTTGTACAAATTTAAATGAATGGATTCTTATGCAAGCATTCCAAATCAAGAAACAAATTTAAAAAAAAATGCTGCAATACATTGACTGATTTCTTGCCAAGACAGCTACTGAGAATCTTCTTGATCCATTCTTGCGCTGAGAAAATGAGAGGGGGAAATATGTAATTAAAAATTAAAACCAGTCCATTCCCTGCATGCTCAGTTTCCTCAAGGGTGAAAAGAGTACCTTTGCTCTGCTTTTACTGCTTAGTGTCAGGGAGGTACTCCAGAGCTGAGAGAGTATTAATTTTTCTTCTCAGCGCAGACATACCAGGACTTAACCATAATTTAATATGTTACAAGGAGGGGTAAAAGGGACAGTATTATGTTTCAATAACAAATAAATTACGTAACTACAATGTTACTTTTCCTGTAGCAGAAGAATGAACTGTAGCCAGCAGGTGAGCAAGAGAACACTACAGGGTGTGGTAGAGACACTATTAAATTAACTGCGAAGACAAAACCTCTATGTGTGCACGCATGTGTATAAAATATCCAGCTATTTCAAACCATAGGAGCATGACAGCTGTGAAAAAGGAGTGCCGCAGGGAATTCTTTTAGAGTTTGATTTTTTTTAAAATATGTTTGACATGGAAAATGTTTTAGTACAAATAAGCAACTGGTATTGAACTTAAAAAGTGTATGCAGAGGGGGAGGGAGAAAGAAGAGATTGCTGTACGGAACAGGAATGAATAATTCATGATATTTAAAGAAAGAATGCCTCCAAAATGTTCTGCAAGGCAGTCCATGCTGATAAGTCGGATGGTTATTCCCCCCCCTTCGCTCCCATTTAAAGCATCACTAATTCAACATCTTTGTGATTTTTTTTAAAAACCTTGTAAGATATTTCTAAAAGAAACATTATTTAACTTAGATTTAGATCTTATTTATTCAGATAATTTCATATAAATATCAAAGAGATGAGTAGAATTATTTAACTGTAAAGAGACAGCTTTAGTACTTTAAGAAAAGGATCTAGGGGTTGTTTTTTTTTTTTGTTTTTACAATTTTTTTTTATTTATTTTTTTTTAAAGAAAAACCCCCAACATCATTGCAAATTAAAATCAACCTCATGGAAGGGGGAAATAAGAGGAGATATTTTGAACATTACTCCATAGGAGACCAGTACAATATAGTGTTAGTGAATGCATTGTAGCAAAGCTCCATATGCAATCAGAATCCAATTGTTACTGGACTGTGTACAGGCACGTACTGTGCTCAATGGCCTGATGAGGTATTATGGATATGATACAAAGAGAACTTCTAGATTAGACATGTACTATTTATTTAAAAAGTGAAACAAAAAAACATTTAAACTCAGCTGAATGCAACAGCACTTCAGGTGGTAAAAAGGGAGGGTTCTGAGGACTCCAGTGACTACAAAGGCTCAGCTATCATTACTAATTTGAGGGGGATGGCAAAAAAAATCTAATTCTTGGAATTTCCTTATTATATTATTTTGGATTTCTGTATTTTCCCTCATTGCTACATTCTGCTTTTAGTGTGGAAAAGTTTATGTAAAACAGACTGATTATTGTAAATCTCAAAAATGTACAGAGGAGCAGCCAGTTAAAATGTAGCCTGTAGATAGTACATAACACTGACTTTAAATAAGTAGCTTGAGCCAAAGTGAGATACCATTAAATAATAGCTACTGTGTCATTTATCTAGCACTGTATGAATTTTTAGATTATACAGATTACACTGCTAAAGTATTTCAGCCTTCCTTCTTTCTTTACATTGGTTAATAGTCCCAATGGCACTGTGTGATGCAGATATGTAGGAACACCCATAGATGCTATAAGATAGAATGTCAGCATTCTCATTTTGGATCAATTGTACCTCCTGCTTTCTGGAGCATTTGTGGTTCCCTCAATGCAGAGGGCATAGATTTTTCAGTTTCCAATGAAGAGAATACAGAAATTTTAGAGCCTGAATCTTCATGTAACTGAACCTAATCTATCAACTTCATTAGGTTCCCAGATCTAAAAGAAAGTTAAAATTATATTTCAAGCTATTTTTAAAAGTGATTTAATTTTGCTTTTCTCTACGGCTGCATAAAAGGAGGTGTCCTAGGACAGAGACCCTCAACCTCAAAACCAGAATCATCCTTAACCTGTGAGCCAGATAGGTTTCCCAGGAAAGAGCCACTCAATACTGGAAAGAAATCACCTTGCATTAAACAGCAATGAAATTTTTTGAGTTGTAACAAATTTCTTCTGTTTTAAGAAACATGTGGTGACAACAGTTTTTTTCCTCTGGGAATCACTGGGGTTTCCAGGGGTATCTTGCCCGTGTGTCTGTGGCCTTAAGGCCCATTCTGTGCACAAGCTTATACACTTGATTTGAACATCTGCTTTTGAAAATTAAAATCACGAGTATCACATCTATGTTTTGCCAGTTTGCCTACTAGCTATATGCTAACAAAAAAGTTCCAAGAGAGAATGGCAAGTCCATGCCCAGCAAAGCCTTTTGTTTTTGCAGATGTTTAGGCTTAGAGGAGTGCTGTGGAGCACAGACAACCTTAGGTCCATGTTTGCACTTGTCTGCTGCTATTCTCTGCTCATTGTCTGAACCTGCACGCATTGTTCTCCCGACAGGTGATAACTACCCTGTGCAGTTCATTCCATCAACAATGGCAGCTGCTGCTGCTTCTGGACTCAGCCCTTTACAGCTCCAGGTATGTGCCAGAACAAAAAAATGTGGGATTGAAGCCAGCATTTTAGGGGAAAACTGCTAACCAGCTGTATGCTAAATAATAGCCTGAATGTTAAATAATTTTTGAGCACATCCCAGGAGGATTAACACCTTATGTACTGCAAATGTAGCTACGTGTGGCCAACCTTGATACTGTGAGTAAAAGACATTGTTCTGTGTATTTCATATTGGCAGAGTTAATAGTATTTTTTTCAATTATATGACCAGTTGATGGGAGATAAGTTCAAAGATCTTTTTGTACTTTATTTTCATTTAGTCTCTCCCTTGTAACTGCAATGCACTGCCTTTAATTGGAGCAATGAGTGTATCAAAATATGTATTACTGGGGTATTTTCCTTATTTCAGACAGTGTGCTGCTGACAATACAATAAATTGCAAACTCTTTAGCTTTTGTCTTTAGGTAATCTCAACCTTTTTGTGCATTAAGCTGGTCAGAAGCCAAGCATGGTCAGGAGACTTGGTTTAGTCAATTCATTTATTTTTGGCATATGTAGAATGAAATGTTTTGAAAGAAAGATTTATGTGCCGTATTATTAGCTAGCTTTTTGTGGCAAGAAGTTTTAGATTTCACAAGAAAAGACACAACAATGTTATAAACAATGTAGAAATAGTCAAAAGCTGTCAGAGTTAAAATGTGTGGAAAGGAAGTGACAGTGAACATGAGAAGAAAGGCTGTTAAGGATGCCTGTAACTATTTGCAAGTAAACCTTTGAAACCCCTGTATGAGTTAGGTTAGAGTTGGGTTCAGATGCAAAACAAGAATAAATTGTGCCTAGAGTAGCAAAGAGCTATCCTGCTAATAGACGAATATCTACTTTGCTTATCCATGTGCAATTATATCATTTTCCAGAGGGACCAAAGCAAATTAAAAATCCTCTCATATTTACCTATTGATGATATTCTTGTCACAGAGTTTACTTAGGATAAGTGAGAATGGGACCAGAACTCAGTGTTCACTGGTGGTCCAGAACTGGTGAAAAAGATCCTTGAACTTAGGTCTGACCTAACCTCCAATCAAAACTTGAAAAGAGAGTACCCTTACACTGCAGGGAAAGATCTCCAAAAAATACTGTTGGGTCATGATAGTATTATATTAAGACTATACTTTGAACAGGCTTCAAACCAAAGGGAAACCCTTTTTCAAAAGGAAAAATAACAAGGTATCTTTGAAACTCTGTATTTGCGTACTTACTGAAGCAGAAGTCTCATTAGGTTTAGTTGAGAAAAGACTTTAGAAATCAGCTTTGTGAATAGAGAGACTATTTTTGCTACCTTTGAAATGCAGCACAACAAATAGTGAGTCTACATAAGACTGCAAGGCAGAAAAGGATAAAAACTGTTCAACTGCAAAGGAAACAGGATCTAAACCACTAACATTCTTTTCTTTTACAAGATCCATTTGTAGCTTGACCCACAGATCTATTTGCACATCAGCCTTGATTAGAACCTACAGATTCATTAATCTGCAGAAATTATAAACTGAGCTGTTAAACATGATGAGCACAAGTAGAGAGAAAACAATCAGCAAAGAAAGTGGTGCTGATAAATTCAGGAACATTTAAGTGCTAGAGAAGCCTAAATTCTCCTTCAGACATGTTTGTTGTAAAAGAGGGGTTTTTTGTTTGTTTCGACCTTTTCTATTTTATCTTAATTTCACTTTTATGGGATTTCAAAGCCTTTAACGTTTCATGGTCATGAGAGCTTAAGTAGTAGAGTGCTTAACCTTCAGTTGATACCTGCTCATCTGTCAAATGGCTGAAGTAAATTTTATTTATTCGTGCTATTACTGTTTTCTTTGTCTCAATTCCCTAAGTGTTCCCTGCCCTAAATGAGCATTTATTTGGGTGTGTTTGTTGGAGAGAATTTGTTGTTATACCTGATGCGTCATGAAGACTGTTAGGGGTGTAGCATTTCAGCTCATTTTTCCATCTTTGCTTCCCTTCCCCCTTCTTTCTCTGTTTCCTTTACTTTCTTCCATGTGCCCCACCCTCTTATTTATTTACATGCATGCTGTGGCCATGGTATCTGAGTATTTCCCAAGTGCTTAAAAATACTGATCACAAAACTAATCTCTGCTCCTTTCAGCCAGCGTGAGCAATAGCTAATTAATTTGCAGGTTTGGTTTTGCTTCTACATGTGAGAGTGCATGTAATATCTATGTTTGGAAAACTTGGGAAGGGAAAGCCATTTAAAGCAAAAGGCTTTGCAGTAGATCTAACATCTCGACTTTACCAGAGCATTATTATTAGTTCCAAAATCATATTCCATAATCCATATCCAGCTGTCAGCTTCTATCTTGTAATCTCTTGTCTTTTTTCACTTACGAGTTTTTGGGATGATCATTCTTTAGGGAGGATCTAGCAGCAATGCTGTGTTCCCATCTTTCTGTGTGTTAAAACAACTTCTATGGAAGTTCTGAATCTAATAGCACCAAAAAAACGCTTACTCCCAGGTACATCATGTAACAATAGCAGTTGTTCCACAGAGGATATTTCTTCAGTGGGCAATTTGTAATTAATAATTTGCCATCTTATTCAAGTTATTTAGCACACTGGTATCAAAACATATTTTCTCTGAATTGTATGTCTGTGTTCACCTGTGGTTTATGTTAGAAAGCTGTTGAAATTGCATCTGGGAATTTCTCAAGTAACTACTTTCACTCTCATGGACCTTGTATTAAAAAAAAAAAAAGTAAAATGTAAAATGAAAGTATTAAGTCCTCCTTTAGTAACAGACCTGTTTGACCCATCCACTCTTAAGAGTTTGTATCACATTGATCAGCCAGTGGTAAAATACCATTGATATTCAGTTGTAGCTTTGAATATCATAACATAGCATAACAATTGCCACATATTTATGCCAGTCCGTATTCCTGAAGTGGTGGCTTGCTCTGCTTTGTGTTGACATGAGATAGTTTCTTTTTATTTCACTAAGGTGACATTGATGATGCTGTGTTCCATACTTCCTGTTGTCAGCTCAGGCCAGTCTCACTAGTTTCTCAACAACTTCACCAAAGATTTAAATATGTGGACCAAGCGTTGTTAGGAATCTCGTCGTGAGGGAGGGTCTTGCTGATGTGGGGACAGTTCTGTAGGTATGGTCTAAGAGAAAGGGCCAGGCTATTTCTGTCCACCCCTCCAGTTCAATCAACTGTGAGTGAATCGTGTCAAATCAAACTTCTGCTAAATAATTTACTGATATATCACCAAATACACCTGTAGCAGGTATGCATAGTGATGTGTGAACCAGTTTTGATGCATGTGTGTAACAGAAGTGTGTTGCTTTAATTAATCAGTGTGAGCAGCAAAACACATCAATAATTTTCCCTTTGCTCCTCTTTTTTGTATCCATTTTCTCTGGAGTTTCTCTCCTTTCCCATTTCCCTGAAATTTTTCCCTAGCTGTCAGATGATTGCACTGATATTAACTGATTCTAGATAATGTGTGCCCAGTAATCTTCCCAAATGAGTGAACTTGATCAGGAAATGAATTTTCCCAGCTCTCATGGTGCTTGTAGCAGTAACCTAATTACTGGGAAGTGTATGTGGCAGATGTGGCACTTACATGTCCTTACTTTCAAACAAGGAATGTTAATATGTGGTCTTTATTGTTTTAAAAAGAAAAAATCTGCCTTTTCTCTAGATATTTCTACAAAGTGTTCTATGAGGTAAATAAGGAAATGTTGCAACTCTCTCAGCCGCAACTGATAAACTGTTGATAGAAATGGAAGCGCTACAATGATGCTAGCTGGAGTTATTCCTAAACAAAGTGAGCTCTAGGAAAAAAAGCAAAACAAAAAAGATTTCGTTCATAACTCTTTCCCTAAACTATTTGTGTAATTTGTCCTTCAAAATTTATCGCTTATAACACTAATGAACCTTGGCAAGTCTTAACTATAGTTGCAGCTGTGTTCTTGAAGCCTGAAGTTTTTATAATCCATTTTTAAAAAAATTAAATTTTAACTAAACACATATTTGTCTATTTTCTTCACTCCCATCTCATCCTACTCCTCCATACTCTCTTCTAATTGCAGAGAAAGTGAATGACCTTTTTTTATACTGCTGGGTGCAGATCTAGTGTGCTGCTGAAGCATTGCATAGCCTGCCTCAGGGGCACAGTATTAGTAAAGGGAAAGCCAAAGAATGCTATTTTTAGTTGAACAGTTCAGCAGATGGAGGCATGAATACTCATATATCTGAAGGTTGAGGGGTTTGAACCATTAATTTTTATAATGAATTTAACCCTGGGAACAATCAGAAACTGTAACTCTAAGGTTACAATGCTTTTGACCTTTAGAGAACAGAGGGCACTCAGTACAGTAAACAATATATTACATTTCTACTTATTCCAATTCTCTCACACATATAAATTTCAGGACATAGTTGACATTTGCTTTCCTCAGCTATTTTAGTGCTGGTCCTTAAAGCATGTCAAGAAGAATGTGCAGGAAAGCGGCCAATGTAATGCGACAGTCATGTAAATATGGCCTTTAAATAGCTAAGATGTTAAATGTGGCTTTTTATGAAGAAATATTATTCTCGGGAACTAGGATCCTGGTGACTTATTATTTCAATGAAAAAGATGTTTTAGCAGACTACTGCTCTTACAGATTTTCCTTTATATGTTGTAATCTTAAAGCAATTTTTTTAGTGGGGCTAATGTGATCTGATAGTGATAGCTCACACTGGAAGTGATTTGGTCCCACTCTGGTACCACATCATGCAAAGTGATGTACCTGCCTTATGTCTTATGCAATGATGCATGCTCCTCTTCAACAAATATAGCAGTTAAATATCACGCAGCTTAAGTATTTCTAATTAAAATATCTCCATGTGTCAGCATATTGGTAATGTATTATTTTAATCCATTTATTTTGTTTATGAAACAGTGACATATGTTTAGAATGTGAAATATATGAGCCTTAAAAATCACTTTATTGAAGAAAATTAATTTCTACAATGCT